ACGAGGATTACAAGAAAACAGTTATCATGAGTAATGAATTAATTACTAGACTGAAAATTAAAACCATTTTTTAGAATTAACATCACTGCTTTCCTTCTGGAGATGTAATTATTATCCTCCCTCCCTTTCTTCTAAATACCCACTGTCTCTGTCCCCCAATCTGAACATTATTGGGGCTTCTATCTAAATTAATGTTTTCCCATTAGCTATTCTGCTTGATCTCAACAAGTACTTGTTCCCTCTTACTTTGAACGGCCTTTTCTTTTTAGATTAGCACTCCTAAAAGCAGCGGTTCTCAACCTGTGGGTCATGACCCCTTTGGGGGTCAAATGACCCTTTTACAGGGGTCGCCTAAGACCATCGGAAAACACACATATAATTACATACTGTTTACAGTAGCAAAATTACAGTTATGAAGTAGCAATGAAAATAATTTTATGGTTGGGGTTCACCACAACATGAGGAACTGCATTAAAGGGTAGCGGCATTAGGAAGGTTGAGAATCACTGCCTAAAAGTATTGTGAGCAGTCGGTACTGTGTCTTCTGTGTCAAATGGGTAAGTCATATCTGAGTGGTCATATGTATACCAAGCGCAGGAATTAGGGCATAAAAGTCATGAATTTACCATGATGCAAACTTCGGCCATTTTACTTATGTTCTGCTCATATTTCTGTTGGGTCAGAGCCAGAGCCTAGAGTAAACCTCTGGTCTGAGGTCACCAGGAAGCTCCTGTTTTACTTCTGCACCAGAAATCAGGCCTCTCTGATTGAAGGAAGCTGACCTACACACTACAGAAAACAACACAGGGAAACAATCTACAAGTCACTTACAATGATAATTTTAAAAATCTGAAATTTCTTTTGAGGCTTTCAATTGCATTCATGTCTTCTGGAGTCAATTCAAACTCCAAAATGTGGAAGGAAGGCAAGGATCACATTAAACTCTCCCCTAATGCGCAGGGCTTCCACCTGGGAGCATGAGGACTTCCTGGTAGACAGAGGAAAGGGGAGCACTAGGACAAGCATCTGCTGCCATCACTTCTGGGTGAACCCAGAGAACTACCCCCCTGGGTTCACCATGGCTCCTGTCCCACTCCTCCTCCTCCTCTGCTCCACTCCACAAAAGAAAGGCTTTTATACATCATCAACCCCAAATGTCTCTGTGTGAATAGTTTGCAAAAGAAAAAAACAAGTTTTTTTTTCCTAAAAATAATAAATAGTTGGACAATCTGGACAAAATGCTTGCAGACTGGACCAAACTTTAGTCCTTGCCCCTGCCCTGTCACACAAAAATCCTCAAATTTGACACAGCCTCAAACTTAAGCATGCTTTGGAAGAGCCACCCCCTGTAAAGGCCTCTCCAAGAAGCTACTGACCTCAAGCATTTGCTAATCAATTATTCAACCACACACCTGCTCATTCTCTCTCTAGTCAGGCTTACTTCCCTATAAAAGAAAAATCTGATTTATCTTGGAGACACTTATAGTCCCCACATTCAGAAAGTTCTCCTTTCAAATAAAGTATCTCTTACTTAAGTTCAGATTTGTTTTTATTGATAATACAAATTGACACTCCCCTATAGGAGAGTCAATTAATAGCAAAGCAGAAAGATCTTTGATAAGAAATATTAAATTCTGAAGCTCATTATTTCATCCAGGAATAATTTCATAGAAAACTCAGTGACTCTATCTAGATCTATCTATCTACTCATCTATCTATTATCTATCTACCCATTTTTTATTCATCATAAAAAAATGTACTCTAGAGGTTTTAAGTATATATATATATATATTGAGCTGACTGGAACTGAAAAATAAAATGGAATTTTTTCTGATTGGTTTAACAACAAAATTTAGATTTGCCTATTAGCTATTTCGATAAATTGGATAAACTAAACCTTTAGCTTCAAGGTTTTGGAGCAAATACATGATAAATAAAATGCTCTAAATGTTATATTTTGCAAATATTAAACCCATGATGAAATTGTTAGCTGTCATTTTAAAACAGTATAAAGTTTACATAGTTTCTCATGAAATTCACAACAAAATAAGTTGAAGATCACTGATTGATCTAAGGGACCAGAAGATATATGAGGGAGAGTTTGTGGGGGAATCTTCATAAAGATAAATATTTTAAAATATGTTCATTTGGTCAGTCTATAAACTTGTATGTAGCTTCCTACCAGCTCTTCTGGGGAAAAGATGGTAAAAGATGACCCAGAGAGAGTCACTGCATTTAGGGTCTCCCAGTCTAGGAGGCACACAGATATATAAACAAGCAACTGTCTAGGTCTTTTCAGGCATTCTGTAGGGATTTTGTGGCCTATCTCTATATCTTGATAGAAGGGAGCTTTTTAATCTCTCTTATTAAGTCTAGCATCATTTGGCTCATCAATGCCCCACAAGGAAACTATGCATATCTTAGAACCAACATTAAGTTTAAAATAAACTATTTTTTTCAATTTATCTAGAAATATTGAAAAAAAACCCACACTACTTTCTTCCTAAAATATTAAAGAAAAAAATTTCTACAAAAATCATCTCTTGCAGTGCTTTTGCATTTACACACACTTTCAACTTCATCTTGTAAAATGAGACCTTATCTGATTTCCCTGGAGAGAATAAGAACATTTTGGGTTGCATCATGTTTACTAATTTATGGAAGTATTTCACATTCCCCTCCGCCTTTTTTTTTGTTTCCAGTTGTCCAGTTTCACAACTTTGAAGGACAAAGACCTTATTTGGCCAAAGGGCAGTCTAAAAATCCTTAGTTTTGCTCTTCTATGATGTATTCTAATGAAGCCACATGGAAAAACAAGGTTGAAGCCTCAGTTAGCACAGGCCTATCCTATTTTCTCTGCATTAAAACCATAAAAGCACCATCAAAACTATAAGCCAGCGGGCACTGATCTGAAATGGGTATTTTAGTGAGGGACGGCATCATTGCCAAGTGACACACCCCTTTGTTTCTCCCCTGAAATCTACAACTTGTTGACATTCAGAACCCAACACAGGTTCCTGTGCTCCACACACTAAAAGATCCATGCACCAGTACTCTGGAAGGTGATCTTATTGGAGTGTTTAGGAGAGGAGGGAAGTGGGTGAGCGGGAGGGGGGAGACCAGGGACAGACTCATCACTGCAGCAAAACTGAACCTACAGCTCCAGCAAACACAGTAGTGATTGAGGAGTCAGGGTGCAGGCTTTACAACACAAACCAGGGGAGGGCAGCAGCTCAGCCACATTCCTAACGCCCTGCCTGCCCCCCCCCCCAAAATGCAGATTCCTCCTCAGTTTCACCACCACAGAACAGTAGCAGGAACAGAACCAAGTCTCCAGGCCCCAGGCCACAGCACAGTGCCGCCAGTGGTCACAGGAAATGAGGCAGCAGCCCCTTGGCCTCACAAATGGGCTTCCCTCAACTGGCCCCATTCCCTGCCATGGTGGTGGTGCCCTGAGACCCAGATAAGCCAGATCCTGTACCAGCATCTAGGACCTGGTAACCCCCCAACCATGTCCAAGGCTAAACCTCCCACACCTTGACTCACAAGCATGCCCTCCCCAAGCTTAACTAGTATAGGTAAGAGGAAACAAAAACTGCCCTATCCTACCATCTACTCGAAAACTAAAGACCCCAAATTATGAACCTGCTCAACTGTGGAAAGCAAAATGTTCCTAAATAAGAAAAGTGTTCACTACTTCAAATACACCAGCAGAGGAACAACCCATCAAGCAGCATGGACCACCAAGATAACACTAACATAGGAAGACAATGACAGTTCTCAGAAAGGAACTCAAAATAGCAGACAATTTTTACATAAATGAGAGAGAAATCAAAACAACAGTCATGAGGAAACTCAATGAGATACAAGAACACTCAAAAGGCAGTTCAATGAGCTCAGGAATAAAATTAAGGAACAGAAGGAGAACTTTACCAAAGAGATGAAAACTGTACAAAGAACCAAACAAATTCTGGAGCTAAAGAACTCAATAAATGAGATGAGGAATGGATGTATTAATAACTGATGCACAATGAAAACTAGCGGCAATATCAAGACTGCCTATCACTGTCATCTTAGTCATCAGTCATTTAAGGGCTGGCAAGATATTCAGACATAAGGGAACTTCCTTTAAAAATGCAAATATAAAACACATTATAAATGCAAATATTTATTTAACTATTTAGAAAATGTACAACTTCTCAGCAAAACATTTTATAAAAACTGAAATAAAGTAGAAATTAAGAATTTTCTTTCATGTAAAAAGATGACAAAACTTTCCACTTAAAAATAGAAATTAATGCTCTTAACAGTATAAGATTATTTAATTCATAAACATTAGGAATTCTCAAAGTAGGAATCAGCAAATTTCCTATTGCATACGAACTGTTATTAGGATATCCAACACAAGGTGTCTCCAGGAAGGGCCTCTTATTAGTCCTCTGCTTCCTGTTTCTGAAACGAGAAGAAGTTTGGTGCTGAGTTCTGTTAGCTGCCCCTTAGAACTGCAAAGATTGTAAACAACAAATGCTTAGTATTTTATTTTCCCCTAAGAGACTTGCATTCTTTTAAGTAGACACAGTAATAAAGGGAATTTGCCATTACATCGCATTTTAGCAATGAAAATGTATCAAAGCACATTTACTATATTCAGGTATAGGTTCTAAATTATTGTAAAAAAGTACTGATGTTTCTAAGAAGTTGGGGGAGGGGGTCCCATAACTAAGGAGTAATCGAAAGTTGGGAGGCTATCAGTGATGTAGATGGCTTATCAAGTAATACTCGCTGCCTTCTGGGAGGGCTGTACTTACAAGACCCCATTCCACAGGGCCACGAGACCTGCCCCTCCTTGCCCACCACCACACTGTTGTCTGTGTGCATGCATAGATGCTGTTTAGCTAATCTCTTCCCCTTCCTTTCTCCAGCCCCCCTCCCCTCCTCTCTGACATTTGCCAGTCTGTTTCATGTATGGATGCCTCTGGTTCTCTTTTGTTCATCTGTTTATCTTGTTCCTTAGATTGCACACGTTATTAAGGAGGTTCTATGGTATTTGTCTTTCTCTGACTTGCTTATTTTGCTTAGCAAAAAATCTTTCTTTTATTAGTACTCACACATTCTGATAAATCAAAGAATAATAAAATCAATTTAAATTCTTAAATATGGACAACATAAATAATTGTATAATTTTTTAATCATGACTTTTATTTTTTCCTAATCGTCTTGTTTTTCATCAAATCATCTTAAAAATAAAATGATCCTCTAGTAAGAATAATTCTGCAAGATCAACTTAGTGCTGGTAATGATGGAAACTAAAGTACTGAAAGGAGAAACATGCCACCTTACTTCCTGAAATCTACAGAACAAGCTGCCATTAAGGGAAGAAGGGGAAACACATACATTGCCTGTATCCAAAGTAAAATGAAATAAAGCTATTCAAGGACAATAAATTAACCTGGAAAAATTGCCTGATTTGTTCTAATCTATATGCTACGTCGGGTCTTGCACATTCTCCAATCCTCTCTAGACACTGTTCTTCTTCATGGTGTTTTGCCCTATTTATTTCCATTTGTCTTCTGATTCTTATTGCTTCTTGTTTCCACCACTCTATTCTAGTCGTCATTTCTTCACATTTCTTTTGAAGTAATTTGAATTCTTCCTCCAGCTGAACTGTATTTTCTTCAGGGCAATGCTTACATTTTGAAGCTGCTATAAACTCATCATTCCGCATGAGTGAAATAATAGAGTTTGGTTATGAAGGTGTGGGCACCTGTCTGAAATTTCTTTTTAAATTTAAATTCTTTATAGTTTAACAGCATGAAATTCTGAAACAAATCCAATTGCAATAAAATGTTATCTGTACTGTGGTTGAGTCTTAAAATGTGGAACCTTGAGTTACTCAGAATCAAGGCCAAAGTGAAAATGACCAGGAATTCCAAAAAAATATTTACTGCTCTTGTCTTTGTCACACAACGTCTGCACTTGATTTTAGACTCTTTTTTTCTATGACTTTTTCATGTCTCTCCTCCACAAAATGACTATACATTGTCTCTTAATAGGAAGTCCCATTCCTCTTCCCCATCTTAACACTTCACAATCTTTAAAAACATTTTTAGGGATATTATATTGAAGTATTCAGGACTGAGTCACCAAATGCCTCCAAAAATAACATTTTCAATATGAGAATAATTTATTAATCTGATATATTTAGATTCTAATGCCATAAGTCTTTTACTGAACTACAAACTTTTGATGCTAATTTGAATTGCATTCCATGATGAAATGATTCCCTGGTTTACTGAGAAAGTGCATCTCTCCCTACATTTAGTGAGATGAGCCCTACATTTTTCAGAACCAAGAAAATGGAGGAGGGGCTTGATTCAATAGTGCTATCTTGAAATTCTTTGATACATCCCACTAAAGAAGGGAGCAGACTAAACAAAGACAGTATCATCAACAACAAACTTGCTGGAACGTCAGTGATAATGACTTGGGAAGAACTACTTTCATTTAGATACAATGACTGTTTGGTAAGACAAGATGAGTGATGCCGAGTTTTGAAGCACGTCTCCAGATTGTTTGGCACTTGTCCAGGAAATAGGTGCTGGTCTGAGTGCTCACTGGGTTGTGGTGAATAGGATATGGTGACTGTTGTGTGACTGCTATGTCTGGGTGCCATCTGACTTACTTCCTAGGGGAGCTCACCCTGGGAACCCAGCCACCAGGTTGTGAAGAACAAAGCAGCCCAGGCCACATGGTCAGTCCTCACACAGGTGTCCACCTGAGACTGCCCCAGTGAACGTCCCAGACAAAAGCCTTCTGCAACTGTCTAACTGGAGAGTGAACCAGCCTCAAGATGATTCCACTTCCCAGCTTCACGTCATACCAGCTGGTGGAAAGAAAATGAGGTGGCCTCACTGCAAGCTCCTGAGGAGGCTGACAGCAAGGGCTTAAAATGTGACACTGAAAGAGAATTAATAGGGATTCTCGCTAGGAAGCAGCTGAAATTGAAATCAATGAGAAAGATAAGCTAAAGAAGGACAATTAAATATAAGAGATCCTGGGTTTATGGGTTTCAAATACCCGTTTCCCATTTATAACTTCTCCCACATGTCCAATTGTCAACGCCAAAACAAAGAAATGGCTTTCTGGGTTCACATCAAATCCAGTGTATTCTAGGAAAACATGGTCTAAGGATGAAGCTAAGACTTATAAAACCCTAAGAGCTCAGAAACATTAACGTGGTGCCTCAAATTCCTTTAAAGATTTTCAGAATGTAAGAATTTTAAAGGAGCTGTCCTACAACATCTCCAGGAAGCCCCAGGTGAAGAGCTTATCTGAAAACAATTTGTAAGGTGGCTTTTCTAATGCCATGAACCCTAATAAAATTCATAGGAAACTCAAAGCTCCTAAGAGAATTGTAGTAACACAAACCTTGCCTGCTAGCTCCTGAGGGAGACCAAGACAGTACACAATAAAAAGAGGCCTGTGGGTTTTCAGATGTTTTACAGGGAGGAAGCAGCTAAGACAAGAGCTGTAAGCACACGTCATTTCTTATGAAAAGGACAGAGCAAAGTCTATGAGGGCACAGCCAAGGTCCACAAAGAAGCATTCCATGGTTAGGAATAAGTTTTCCTTTCCTCAGGGAGGAAACAGAGAACATTTTAAATCTCAGTGGAAAAACCTCCTCTAGGTTACTTCAAGCTTACTTTACTTTATACCACAACGTTTCTCCATAGAAAACAAATTGGCTTTAAAATTTTGAGATTTCATATTGAGACATTTATTTTTTATCTTTTAACATTTTTTTTTAGTCCTCACCCAAGGTTATTTTTCCATTGATTTATTTTAGAGAGAGTGCAAGAGATAGGGAATGAAACATTAATGGCCAGGGAGGAGCCCACAACCGAGGTATGTGCCCTTGACCAGAATCAAATCCCTTAATATCCACTGAGCCAAACCAGTTAGGGCTCAAATTAAGACATTTCTAAAGAGGAATGGTGACAGTCCAGATTTTAATCTTCTCCTCCCCAGGCATTGAGTCTATGAAGTATGAGTTAAACACAATGAAGTAAATGGCTAATTCAGCAGATCCTGTTACCAGAATTTCATGGAATGGAAGTAAAGTGGGAGGCATTGGGTTAGAAGTTAAAGGTCTGAATGGAGAAAAAAAAGAATGGGTGGCATCTTTGGAAGCCCCTTCCCCATCATGTCACAGTATTAGCAAAACATAAGCTGGCCACAGGCTTTATCAAGAAACAAAATATCTCCACAAAATTAGAATTAAAAACATTCCACTACACTGACTTTTATTATTATACTAGAGGCCCAAAGCATGAAAATTCATGCCCTCATGGGAGGGAGGGGGGAGGTCTCTCAGCCAGGCCTGTGCCCTCTAGCAGGCAGACATCTCCCTAGCAGTCCAGGAGCCCTCGCTCCTTACTGCCCGCCTGCTCACTACTCCTTACCACTTAGCTCACTGATCCTTATCGTGCCGCTGTGCTTGCCAGCTGTGAGCTTGGCTTCTGGCTGAGCAGTGCTTCCACTGTGGGAGCACACTGATCACCAGGTAGTATCTTCTGTGTTGAGCGTCTGCCCTTTCGTGGTCAGTGCATGTCATAGTGACTAGTCATCCTGCAGATTGAGTTGATTTGCATATTAGGTTTTCATTATATAGGATAAAACGTGTTAATATGCAAGAGACCGGGATAGAGTACTCATAAAATTTGATTTGGTACTGGCATAACGACAGACTTATCCATCAATGAAGTAGAAGGGAGAATCCAAACATTAACGCTCACCTTTATGGCCCAGTGCTTTTTGACAAGGGTGCCAAATAATTAAGTCATATATGTATAATCCTCTTAACAATTTCTCCTGGGACAACTGGATATCCATAAGCTAATGAATAAAATTAGACCTGTACCTTATACCATATATTAGAATTAACTCAAAATGTTTAACTATGAAACTTAACTATGAAACTCTTAAAGGAAAACATACATATATATACCTTCATTCCTGGATTTGAGTATTTTTTAGATGAGAAAGCAAAAGACAAAAATAGATTAACAGGACTTCATAAAAAAAACCACAAAATTGTGATTTGAAAGACACCATCAGGAAAATGAAAAGGTGAGCTACTGAATGCAAGAAATACTTGAAAATCCTTAATCTAATAAAGGGTTTGTATCAGGGTATTTAAAGAACTCTTACAATCTAGTATATAAAAGTGTAATATGCAAATCAACCAAACAACCGTACAGCAGAATAACTGTCCGGATGACCATCCAGATGACCACACTATGACACGCACTGGCACCAGGCCAGCCAAGGCAGGTGTGACGCGACTGGTCGAGGGGGCCCCACCATCGCCACACTATCGCCCCACAGAGGGAGGCCCAGGCCACTGACAGGCAGGGCAATCGATCGGAGAGGGGGTGCTCTGCGATCGCCACAAAGAATAAGGGCCAGGCTACACAACTGGTGGTGCTGCAGCAGGTGGGGGGGCCTCTCTCTGTGGGGCAATCGATCTGGGGGCCCCTGCGATCAATCACCCCACAGAGGGAGGCCCAGGCCGCCAGCCAGCAATGCTGTCGAGGGTGCAAGGGGCTGGCCAGCATTTTCCCAGGAGAGGGAGGCCCAGGCCATCCAAGCGATCTCAACCCACGCCTGTTGCCCACAGCGGGAGGAGACTGGTAGTGGGGGTAAGGGGGTCAGCGCAGCACAGATGGCAAGCAGTGGCAGTGGTGGGGCAGGGCCATCTGTCAGCAGCTGGGGGAAGGAAAGCCCTGATAGGCCCTGATCACCGGTCAGGGCTAGGGACCCTACCCAAGGGGTCCCAGATTGCAAGAGGGCACAGGCTGGGCTGAGGGACAGCCTCCCTGCCCCCCATGCATGAATTTCAAGCACCAGACTTCTAGTTCAAGAATAAAAAGACAATCCAATTTAAAATGAGCAAAAGAATGAGTAGAGAGATTTTCAAAGAACATATACAAATGGATATTATGCATGTGCAAATATGGCCAACATCACTAGTCATTAGAAAACTGCAAATCAAACCAACACTAAGATGTCACTTCATACCCACCGGGATGGCTACAATCAAAAGACAGTTAATGGCACATGTTGGCAAGAATGTGGAGGAAGTGGAACCCTCATACACTGTCAATGAAAATGCAAAAATGTGCAGCCACTGTGGAAAAGAGTTTGGCAGTTTCCTGGAAGGTTAAAGATAGGATCCAGCAATTCCATTTATAACTATATTCCCAAGAGAATAAAAACATATGTTCATATAAAAACTTAGACAGGAATGTTTATTACAGTATTCTTAACACCACCAAGAAGGGGAAATAATACAAAGGTTCATGAAATGATGAATGAATTTTAAAATATGTGGTCACTTCATGTAATGAAATGTTATTCGGCAATAAACAAAAATGAAGTACCGGTGATACATGCTACAAAACAGCAATACCTTGAAAAAATTATGCTCCATAAAATAGCAGTCCTGAGGGAGCACATATTGCATGATTCCACTGATATGAAATGTACAGAATAGACAAATCTAGGGAGACTGAAAGGACAGTAATGGTTTCATAGGACTAGGAAGAGTGAGGAAGTGGAAGCTGGCACAGGGTAGTTGCTAAAGGGCATAGAGCAACTTTTTAGGGCAGTGGTTCTAAACCTTCTGGCCCTTTAAATACAGTTCCTCATGTTGTGACCCAACCATAACATTATTTTCGTTGCTACTTCATAACCGTAATGTTGCTACTGTTATGAATCGTAATGTAAGTATCTGATATGCAGGATGGCCTTAGGCGATCCCTGTGAACAGGCTGAGAACTGCTGTTTTAGGGGGATAAAGATGTCCTCAAAGTGATTGTGATGATGACTGTGTAACTCTTTGAATATAGAAAAAGCCACTGAACTGCATACTTTAAATGAGTGACTGCGTGATATGTTCATTATGTCTCAATAAAGCTACTACCAAAATTTATTTTTTATTTAGTACTGGTGCCAGGGTTCAAGACATAGAGAGTTAACAATAGGCCCTCTTTATGGAAAAGTGATAAAGAAAAAAGCTGTCTTTTCACTGACATCAAACTATACATTTAATAGAAAAATCTATATTTCTCTGCTCAAAACATTGAATAATATCTATTTTCCCCAATTAGGTGATTTTGGAGTCACAAAACTGATTTATAATTACCTTCCGTTTTAATCCTGTAGTCTCACTTTCCATTTCTTTTATACTTGGTTTTAAAATTCTGGGGAAACTGAGCTCTTCATTGAAATTCCGTTTTGGCATATTTAAGGGTTCCTGAAGTCTGCAGAAATGTACCAAATGAGAATGTCAAATTATTTAAGAGTAAATACTTAATAATCATTTAAACAGTCCCTGATTGGAGAGGATGCAGGCTGGGCTGAGGGAATTCCGCCCCTTCCCCCACCCCATGCACAAATTTTGTGCACCAGGCCACTAGTCCTATATATAAAAAGGCAGTGACCGTGGCAATTGAAACGACCATTCGACCGGTCACCATGAGGTGCTTTGAGCACCTCTCGGTCCCTTCTCCCCCCGATAGCAGTATGGTGAACAGGGAACCACAGCAAATGGAGCAGTAGGGCAAGACTGGTGAGGGGGCAGAAAGGCAACCTCTTGGTCCCTCCCCCCAGCTGCGGGCTCCGGGGAACCAAAGCCATGCTGTGATCAGAGAACGATGGGGAACTAAAGTGAATGGCAGCGGGGTGTGACTGGCGAGCTGATAGGAACGGTTGACCTCTTGATCCCTCCCCTGTCCCTCAGGTTCCAATCGAAGCTTGGCGAATGGGGAACCACAGCAAACCCAGGTGAGTGGCAGTGGGGCAGAGAGAGGGTAGAACAGTGACCTCTTGGTCCCTCCCCCCGGCCCACAGGCTCTGGGGAACTGGAGCCACGCTATGATCAGGGAACCACGGAGAACCAAGCAGTGGCAGCGAGGACTGGCGAGCATGCAGAAGATGGCCTAGGGACCCTAACTGCGCAAGATTTCGTGTGCGCTGGGCCTCTAGTGTTAATATAAAACATGAACCTATTATCAAATATCAACTAAAAACGAGATCAGTATCCAAGGTGAAGAAGAAAAGCATAATGATATGTGAATGTGCTGCAAAGACACAAACATATCTTTTGGTACCTACTGACAACAGTCTACAAGAAGGGAAGAAAAGTACCAATATCAAAGAGACCACTCAAAACAGGAGAAGCAGGAAAGAAAAATCTTTGAAGTCTGAGTGGAAGGGAAAATGGGGAAGGAGCAAGGCTTTAGAAGAAGGGAAATCAGAAAGATAATGTGCAACAGTCTCCTCAAGTCTGCTTTAAGAAGAGATCTTTGCTAGCACAATGTTAACAAAAATGAAAGGGTGCTGGGGGCTAATTCCAGCAGGTGATAAATTCAAGAAGTTCATCAAAAGATTGGTGAGCTCTGAGGCTTCAGCAGTGCTGAAGATACATATTATTGCCTGCTGCCAGACTGCTGAGGGCATTTTCCCAAACCTGAAAATCTACATGTTATTACCTGCTTCTGGCCAAACAGCTGAACAGCTGAAGGCAGTTCCCCCAACCTGATACTTTCCTGCTTACCTAACTTTACCTTTGATATGTGTATTTGCTTTGCTTTAGGGCAAAAATGTGTGAATAAAAAGCCATAGGTCCAGAGATTCAGAAAGAACGCAGTTCCCATTACCTTATGAAGCTAAGCTTCCCTGGCTCCCCCGTGTATTCCAAATTTATATTTCATGTCTAGTCTCTTTAATTTACTCACATACCTTCTCCAGATTCCTGAACCCTGCTAGGTGCAGGATAACACCCTGGAAAAAGGGATATGAAACAATGCAGAAAAAGAGAGTTAAGTGAGAGGAAAAGCACTGATGATGAGAATCAGAGAACAAACTTAAGAACTCAGCCGAAAAACAGAAAGGAAGCCATGTGGGGGCTTCCCAGATATGGGAAAGATGCTGTTGTGTTTTTATGATTGGTAAAAATAGGATTACCCAACTTCTTCTTTAGGTCACACGGACATTTTTGTACATATGATATCTTTTATAACTAAAAAAAGAGAGAGAGACATAAACCAAATCAAGATATTAGCCTATTTGAATGCCGAAGGGATGCACACTATGAAAAGAAGAAATGATCACCAGACAGAGAAGATGTCTTGCAGAAATAAACATTCAAGGTAGATGTGAAACTTGCAGAGGACTGCCGGAGTTCTTGTTCCAGCATCTAGAAGGGTTCAGCAATCTGGAGAAGGCTGTGTGTAACTTAAATAGTCCAGAGACAAAATATAATTTTGAAAGGCATTTGGGGGTCAGAGCAGCTTAGCTAGAAGCAATATATGTGACTGAGCCCTTGTTGAGTCACCAAGTTCCATCAACCTTTTGATGAAACTCTTGCAATTATGACATGCTAGAATTGGCTTCTGGCAGTTGACAGGATATGCAAAAGGCATCTTCATTATGGTTTTAAAAGTCATTAAAGTGTAAGTATAATATCGTGGCCCTCAAAACAGTTTCACGTTGTGCTGTGAGTTTCTACAGTCAATTTTTAAATAGGATAATTTGTTTAATTAAGAAAATTACAGATAGAAAATAAATTTTTATTTTTATTATTGTTTTAATAAAGTAAAGTGACAGTTAAATCTTAATTCATGGTAGAAATGATTTGAGATGTAATTTTACCTGGTTTTCTCTTTTTCTAAATAATGCTTTTGCTTCATTACTACATGCAAGTTCCGTTCCAGAGATGTGAATAAATTCCTATGTTTCTTTGATGCTTCCTTTCCATGCTGAGCCTTTACAAAAAAATTGAAGAAAATTATTTGTAGAAATCTAGAGACTCACTTTCTTTCTTAAAAATATGATTTCTCAATGGTTCATGAATAATATGTATGGACAAGTTTATGAAATGTAGTAGATGGGTTTATAAACATCTAGATGCCAATAAGTACAGATTTCAAGAATAATGACTTCTTACAGCAGCTTAAATTGACTTTACATTTCCACCACTTTCTTTCTGGAACTGAAATTGCCAAAATTTGTTAAAATAGAGGTCTTGATCACCACAATGTAGTCAATGTCCATGGGTTCTCTATAGTTTTTCCTCTTTTTACTCCATCCCTACACCACACCCTAACACCACCAACACCAACAACAAACAAGTGACATACGATTTCACTCATATGTGGCATTTAATGAACAAACTGAACTACCAAGCAAAATACTAAGTGCTAAAGTACTTTTTAAAGGCTATGCTGACCTTTTAGTTCCTAAAGATGCCCTAGATACATTACCATTAATAGTTCAAGATATTCTAGGTTCCATTAAATCACATCTTACTATGGTAATTTTAAAAATTCCCACACAGTTCCCATTACCTTATGATGATAATCTGACTTTAGGATGAGATAGCCTCTCACTCGATATAAACTTTCTTCCATAAGTTTCAATTTTTCCTTTTCTATTAAACACTTTTTAAATAAAGCATCTTCTCTATATTATATAACATAACATTTGCTTCATTTTTGTAGCTTTTTCTACCATCCTATCATCCCCTTCCATTAAACTTTAACATTCTTTACTACTAGGTCTCATCCACATATTCATATTTTAACCACTCATTCTTTCCTTTTGTATAAGAACCAGAATTTCAATCTTATAATTGCACTAAAAGTTTTTGAGGGTCATCTTTCTTAACCCTTTAATGCTT